ATCTTACTAAGCTGTTTTATATGCATGGCTAGTTGAGGTAATGGAGATTACGACGCGGTAAAGAACACATTACATTTCCAGTCTAAAAAAGTTTTTTGGTCTCACATATTCTTCTTCTTCATTTCGGTTAGGCAGGAGTGCCAGGAATCCCAGGAACAAATGGTATGATGATCACACTATACAGTTAGGTTTTTATTTATTTATTTTACCGAGTCTCAATGGTCCTCTATTTACCAGGTTTACCTGGACGACCAGGCCCCATGGGACCTAACGGACCACCAGGGCGTAACGGCCTAAACGGAATGCCCGGTAGCAAAGGTTCTAAAGGTGACCCAGGAGAACATGGACGACGAGGACGTCGAGGACTTCCTGGCCAAGATGGACGCAATGGTACCGATGGTGCACCAGGATGGCGAGGCAAAGAAGGACCTCGAGGAGCTATGGGCCCAATCGGACCACCCGGTCCACAGGGGCATACGGGTAAAACTGGTCGCCCCGGAAGAAGAGGTCCATCAGGAAGGGTTTCACGGAATTGCAGATGCAAAAGAAATGTTCCTACTCAGATGTTTTTTGTTAATACAGGGTTCTGGATTTCTCATAAACAAATGATGGGATTCCAGAACGTCCCATCGGCCATGGGAGACTTTCACATGAAGGTCGTGGATCCAGTCACATATGTCCTGCATATTGGAGGTAAGTGTCTTCTTGGAATATGRAAACAGGAGTGAACGGATAACCGAGGCAAGCGACCACCGAATGCGTGAAGAACTAGGGTTCGGGGACATTCCCATCCGAGAAAATTTGAAATTCAGTTTCTCAGAAATGCGATTTGCAGCGTTTTGTGGGCCCTTTTGGGGCTCTTTATTGAACAGATTTAACCGGAATTGATCATGCAATATTTATGAAACAAAGAAGCTATACCGTACAAGATTAATTTTATATATATATATATTTTTTGCACAAAGCCAGTCTAATATCAGGCTAAGATGATATCAGTGATGAAAAACAAAAAGCATCGGCAAAATTTTACCGAGGCAGGTGCCTCGGTTGGCCTCTTACTAGCTACGGCCCTGGCAAGGTGGCGATTTCTTTAGCGACTGTGGTTAAAAAGATACAGCGAGAGGGCCTCAAAAAGCCTCTCCCAGTTACAAGATAGGATTAAGAAGCCAAAGCAAAGAAAATTCTATTAGGTCCTATTAGACCGTTTCATGAGTTTCATTGCCTAAGATCCTAAAATATCTGCATGTTTGGAAGCTGTTCAAGTGCTTCTGCCTTCTGTTCTCATCCTTTTTATCGTTTACTTAATTTCCTTCTTAGGTGATTGGGTAAACGACGATTCTGTGACACTCTACATTCGTCTCCATTGCAGTCATCGTCGAAGAGTTGTCTACTTACCCAATGAAACTGGGCACAGAATTTATAAATTCAAAAGAGAAAACCGCCGTGAATCCGAGACATTTACTTATGTAACCAACAGTCTTAGTCATAATGGCCGATGGCGATGCCAATTACAGATTAGTAAGGGCTACATACAAGCGTTTTACCGCTGGGACTCACAATACGGAGAAATAAGCCTTGCTATGTGGTAAAATTACGAAATCACTAACTTAAGACAAATCACGAGAACGTACGGTGAAATCCTGGTTAAACATGATTCTTGGAGTCACGTGACAGCAAGCAAAAAAAACTCCTTTAAAATAACTACAGAATTCTAAAGGTTATAATCTAGAGAGGTCTTACAAGAAGCCCGTTTAATGATATCCCATCATGTCATATAGACTTTATTTAGTATTTCTCGATTTTCGCTGGAATGGCATCGCTAAAATTGTTAGTAAATCGACATTAGTCGTAAATCGTATAAATTACAATAAAAACAACGGCCTCTAACTTGTTATCGCATGCATCTCTCGTCAAACATCAACATTGCCAATAACAGAGCAGCGGCTGCTCTGTTATGTTGTTTTATACAAGAGTGCATGCACCAATTAATGTTTGATAACTTAAACAATTAAGTCCATTAAAACACTTCGGTAACCAGCTAAGCAACAAAGAGGTTTAGGTGTGTGGACTTTGAGGGCGTGTATAGAGTGCGAAGCCGTACGTGTGTTGAACATGCTGCGCGCCTCGATGAGCCACCTGTCAGAGATTGCAAAATTCGATATCCATTGTAATTTGCGCCTTTTGCTTAGAGACAGACAAAGACGAACATATCTAATAATGTCAAGCTGTGTACTCGTTTAAGATGCGCACAACATTTTTAATTAGGATAAAAGGAAAAGACTCAGTCGTGTATGGCTTTTTCATGAAATTCACATGTGATACTTTAGAAACATTTATTAATTTTCAATTGTTTATCTCTTTTCCTAGTAATTTCTTTATTGTAGTAGTTTCCAAGTGTTTTGTTTACTATTCATGCCCTAATGATTATATAATTGTATTTGTATTCAGGGAACAATTGAGAAAATGTTTAATACTAAAAGATATATCACTACACAAACAGAGACAATGAAGACAGCTGTTTAAGTCACTTTAATACCTTAATACTCAGATAATGGTGTTTAGCAAGCTTTGACGCCAATCATAAGCGTTACATGTAACCATAATAAACCTTTTAGTTTTACTAATGTGGCCTAAAGGAGTAAACGGATGGCTTTTTCCATTATCACCCCTATTTGGTGATGGCTTTGGTATATTAATAAACGATTTTATCAGATATGTACTTACCGAGCCACCTGGGTGACGATATTGGTGGACAATTAACAGTTTAAAAATAGCGAGCTCAATTTTTTTTCAGTTTTCCTTTTTTTCCACTTCGCTTTTAATCTCACAAAATAATACTCAATTTAAAGCGATACGTTACACTAATAAATGTAGATGGGTTCATTTATCGAGCTGTTGATGATGAAAGGAAATAAATATGACGTGCCGTGCGCTACTTATAAGAAGTTTTGGAACATTTCTTAGTTGTATAGTTTGTCATCCTAATCATAGCGGATGTTCTGGAATTACTAACAGCGATCGAGGGTTCTTTGAACTGAAACATGAACATTCGTCTGAGGAGTCTTCTTAATCCTTGGCGTAGTTTTTTCAGAAAACAGAAGTAAATGCAAGGATGCACTGCGGAATTAATGTAGCCAAGAAACTGAACTGTTATTATGACTGTTTGCACGCTCGCAGTGTTTTCTTTGATAAAAAAACTCAAAACAACCAAAGTACAAAAGAAAGGACCCCAGAGTACAAGATACAGAAACATTATAACTATTGTCATGATGAAAATGGTTTTATCTTTGCGTTGGCGTCGTCGAAATTGATCGTCGTTCAACATAGACGCTGCTCTGTTGGAATTCTCTTGGAGTTTGCACAACATGACCGAATATAAGACTCCAATAGTAATGCAGGGGAAAACAAAGACAACTGTTATCAAAATGATAGTAAATATTGTTTCCGCTTTAGTGTCATCAAAAGCTGGTGACCATGTACTAATGCATTTTGTCCAGCCTGTTGTTTCAAGTCTGTAAATGTAGAAGTATGGAGAGAGAAGCACCGTCGCCAAGAACCATATGCCAACAATGAGAGCCAAGGTTCTTTTTCTCGACAAGAAACCTTGCACAGGAACAGCAATAGCAAAGAATCTATTTACAGCAATAATTACAAGACTAAACGATGACACAACAGGAGAAATGTCTGCAATAAAGTAACAAGCTTTGCACAAGAAGTTACCAAACGGTCCGTCAACAACCCATTCCATAGGTCGTAAAGTTGTATCTGCAATCTTCATAGGAAGTGCCAAACATGGTATTACCAAGTCGGATATTGCCATGTTAATAATAAGAATATTGAAATTTGTCCGTAAAGCCTTGTTTTTCAGGATTACAAGTAGTACAAGAATGTTGCCAAAAAGCGACCAAGCTAAGACCAAGCTGTATAATGTTATCTTTGTAGCTGCCATTTCTGATGGAGCACCATCGCATGACGACGTGTTGTTCATGTCTGACAATCTACCTAGAACGCTTGAATAGGCTTAGCTCGACTAGTGCTGATTCGCCCCGGTGAGATCGTGGGCGTCCAGCGTGGACGGAATCACGCGAATGACACCAGGTTCACCAGTCTCATTTGACAAGTCAACGTTCATTTATACATGTATTACGAGGCTTATTAAATTGTCCATCATATGAAAACCAAAAAGTGAGAAARTATCTGAATTGCCTTCCAAAAACTGAATGTACTTAGCTTTCAAGCATGTTTATAAAGTGTGGTATTTCAATAAATAAAACAATGGAAGTACCTTTACATTCGCTAAGGATATCCGACTGAATTTTCTTTTTGATTTTTCACTATATGCGGTCAGCGAGTGGTTGTTCGATGATTTAGCCTTGGTATACAGTGATGCAGGTTGCGCAATTTGCGTAATAAAGCCGCCCGGAACAGCTACCAGCTGAAAAGGAAATGATTCTTGTATATAGAAGGCCTAGTATTATGAACAGAGACGTTGTTTTAAAATCTAATTACATTTAAATATAAAAATAAATATTCCTGAAACGTCTAGTTTTAGACGATWATAATGATGATAATAATAATAATAACAATAATAAAAAAACACAGCATTACTGTCAGAGGCTAATTCTAGGCCACATTATTTTCATTGAACATCACGAATTGACAAAAAAGCCATTTTCCGCTATCAAAACATTTTGTATAGAGATAGAATGAAGTAAAAAGGGCATATTTTACTTACACACCTCCTAGGGTAGACGAAACTCCATAAATTTGCTTTTTCGTTTTTCGTAGTTCAAAGAGGGAAGCAAGTCAAGGTGCCAAGCGGAAAAATTAYAAAATACATTAAAATAATCCCGACGCGCTTTCAAATATCTGTGTGAGCAGTGAAGAGTGTGTTTCAAATGTCAAAAATAAATAAATAAATAAATTAATAATAATAAAAAAATAATAAAATAAAATAAAATAAAAAAATGCGTCTCATGCCGTGCGTTAATCTTAAGCTACATCCGATCACATGTGACCTAAAAATTTCACAATATCTAGGTAATAATTGAAAATAATTAAAAATGAAAAAAAATTGTCTAGTTATTCAGTTTCATTGCTTACACAATGTCCATGAAATAAAATGATGCAGCTAGTTCACAGTTACAATTATTACAAGGTATTTTTTCCCTTACATTCAATTTCCCCTTTTGAAATAGTAATATTTAAATCAGGACGACATTGTCAAAAATTATCACATTTAAAAATCCATACGTTAGGGTTAATTGTAGGGTTGGGATTGGGTCTTTATTGTCGTTTAGTGCCTAGTTGTGATGGAATATCACTCTTCTGAGTAATAGTTTTATATTCATGGGTTTATGTTGAATACATGTAAAGATATGAATACGAGGCACTATGATAGACACGATATAGAAATGAAAGAAAGTTAAGACCAGAAACTCATAAGGGGATTTTCAATCCCCTTATGAGTTTCTGTTAAGACCCTGAGGAATAAATTCGGAAAAATTAATTTCCGGCCTCGCTGAGATTCTAACATCTATTTCACCCCGGCCTGCTCCCAGTCTGGCCTTGTAGCTCAGCTGGTAGAGCATCGGTAGTACAAATCCGAAGGTCGTGGGTTCGAATKTATTCCCGAAGGGTCTTTCTCTCGGAATTGCCTCCTTCYAAGCACTATAACTTTCTTTCATTTCTATATCGTATTTATTGACTACACTCTACTGTAGTACCTATTGTTTACATTAAGACGTTTCCTTTTCAGTGATAGTTACCAATAGTATTACTAGTGGACTATTGCAAATCCTTCGTTCTGATTAGCTACGCTACTTGGGGTCTATTTTCAATAGTTTGCCTCGACTAGCGAAAAGCAACAACTTTTTGCGTATTTTTAGCAATAAAAACATTTAGTTATTTAGTTATTTTATTTATTTTTTGTCCAATTAGTATGGTAATACTGAAACAATTAGATTTCTCKGCCTCGAGGAATACGAGCTGATCARCTAMGGGSTATCAGCTCGTAGTCCACTCGCCCTCGAGATGTAATTATTAAATAGTCTCTAAATAATAACCAGAAGGTAGTGACTATTTGTCATGTTATTTCATGGACATACTGTAAGCACTCTGGCAAAGGAATCTGGCCCATTACCCATAATCATAGTTAATAGAGGGGACCCCTCTATTAACTATGCCATAATCAATAGCTGTTATCATTTCACTTACCAAGAGTGACTTATCGACAAACTATTTCATTTTATATTCAATCATTCAATTTATCTTTTCTTTTATCTAGACAGTTTTTAAATTTTAGCATATGGTTAGGTTGATAATAAATAATTGCTTCCATAGTAACAACCACACACGACGGGCAATGTCAAGTATAGAAGAAATAGATGTGGGTAGAAATAGATATGATGATCACCAAAAGTTTCTTTTACTCGAACTGATAAAAAGTKAACAATTAAACAAATAAATACATTCATTGAGACATTGATAAAATTACAATTGCCATAACAAGTATCTAATCACTAATACAAGACCATACATGTATACCATCGTAATTACAACTCTTTAAAAAAATCACAATTTGTACTTAATTAAAGAAGTTTTGTATAAGACCACCTCATGGTTGACGATCATTGTGGCACAAGATTATCTGAAAAAGAAAAATACAACAGGAAAAATGATGAGGAATACGCCAAAAGGGGATAATACCATATCCGTTATGTGACAAGGGCAGCTTATTATAACAAGACCACAGGAT